TATATTAAACAGCTTCCTGAACATGAGTCTGTCGTGAGTAGATGGGTATGAATGAATACAGCAGCTTGAGATCAGCAGCATGGATAATCAGCAGCACAGATAAGTCACATATCACCAACTAAACTGTGGCTATCCTGGTTAGGGATTCACGAGTCTAACAGCTTCAGGGTAGAAGCTGTTCCCCAGTCTAGTGGTTCTACACTTAATGCTCCGCAACCTTCTGCCTGAGGGGAGCGGGGCAAAAAGTGTGCGTGCTGCGTGAGTGTGGTCCTTCATGATGCAGGTGGCCCTCTTCCATTTAAGAAATGACATAACTTCTCGAAACCACAAAGAAACGGAAGGCGTCTTAGAAGATTTCCAAAGGAGTAGAATACAACGCCTGGCTTAAAGTGATGTAAAGGCTAATACTTTAGCGTGAGTAGGGTCAGTTAGTACAGTACTGACAGGAAGCCCAACAATAGCTAAGAAAGGGTTCATACAGACTTGAATTCCAAGGGCTTTGGAAAGAATGGCTGAGTATGGGGGTTTGGGTACACGAAGAACGTGTGACTCAGATTACATGGACTTGAATGACCTTTTCCACTGATCCACCACTTGTGAGTAAAACTCAGACTGACAAGACTTTGAATAGTGAACCCTATACAGTACTTTAAACTGGATAAGTTGTAACCTGGCACAGGGTGTACAGTAACAAACATGGACGTTGCTTTCTCCCATTGTTGATCTGAAATAATTATGCCTAACTCCTGTTCCCAAGCTCTCCTAACTTTAGCTACCGAATTGATGTCCAAATCTATAAGTTGTTTATTTATTGAAGATATGATCTATTTCTTGTTGGGTTTAAGCGACCATAGTTCTTCCCATGACTGGATACTTGGAAACATTTGTTGCTTTTTGATATCAACCAGCAGCGGATTCACTGAAACGTCACTGGGATCAGATAAAGTTGATTTAAAGCTGGACTGTACTGCTTGCACTGCAATGACTCACCCCGACCCATGAAAAGCCGGACCCAGAACTTGCCCTATCTACTATAAAACATTCACGGCTTGTCTGAAATATCTTAGCAAGTATCACACTACCGAACCTGCTGACACTGAGAGTCCCTGAACACACCATCTGCTGTTTTGGCATTGACACAGTTTGAAATGTAAATGTATCTGTGGTGTCCAGCCTTATAAACAAAAAAGTTATAGATTCATGAAGCCTTCACATTAATTTTCACTGACGTTCATGTATTAAGAACACAATAATAGAAGTATAGCCCTGATTAACAACAGAAAAGGCAAAAAAATATAATAAAAATTTACATGAAAAAAAAAAACGTTTCAGGTTTTACCTTGAGTTTTTAGCAGCAGTCTAATGTTTCCTAAATATCTGGATCTCCCTTGAAGCTTTCAATCTTATCTCTGGAGGACCTTTTGTTGATCTTTTTGTGTAAAATCAGTGGAACTTTTACTCATCTCTCCAGCTCAATACAAAATCTTTCTTCCTCTTTGTCCCGTTCTTGTCCCTTGTGTTGTTCTGCAGTTTCAGCAGAATCAGTTCTTCCTCTGTTGTGGCCTTTAACCTCTGATATCAGCCCGTTTTCTGAACTTTGTTTCAGTGTAAATAACAGTAATGTGATAACAGAACTTTATTGTGTTTTTAAGCAGAAGAAAACTCACTAAATTCATTAAGTTTCTGGTTCATCAGGAAATGGTCTCGAAGTTCAATGTTAATTTAAAAAAAATTAATTTTACAGCAAGCTGAGCTTTAATTGCTGATTTTCAACACGTGAACAAATTTATAGGCTGCAACAAAAACATGAAACTGATGAACTTTACAAACACAAGTGAAACCTTAATAGTTATAAAACACGTACAGTGCCTTGCGAAAGTATTCGGCCCCCTTGAACTTTTCAACCTTTTGCCTCATTTCAGGCTTCAAACATAAAGATATAAAATTTTAATTTTTTGTGAAGAATCAACAACAAGTGGGACACAATAGTGAAGTGGAATGACATGTATTGGATGTGTCAAACTTTTTTAACAAATAAAAAACTGAAAAGTGGTGCGTGCAATATTATTGGGCCCCTTTACTTTCAGTGCAGCAAACTCAGTCCAGAAGTTCAGTGAGGATCTATGAATGATCCAATGTTGTCCCAAATGACTGATGATGATAAATAGAATCCACCTGTGTGTAATCAAGTCTCTGTATAAATGCACCTGCTCTGTGATAGTCTCAGGGTTCTGTTCAAAGCGCAGAGAGCATCATGAAGACCAAGGAACACACCAGGCAGGTCAGAGAGACTGTTGTGGAGAAGTTTAAAGTCGGATTTGGATACAAAAATATTTCCCAAGCTTTAAACATCCCAAGGAGCACTGTGCAAGCAATCATATTGAAATGGAAGGAGTATCAGACCACTGCAAATCTACCAAGACCTGGCCGTCCCTCTAAACTTTCATCTGGAACAAGGAGAAGACTGATCAGAGATGCAGCCAAGAGGCCCATGATCACTCTGGATGAACTGCAGAGATCTACAGCTGAGATGGGAGAGTCTGTCCATAGGACAACAATCAGTTGTACACTGCACAAATCTGGCCTTTATGGAAGAGTGGCAAGAAGAAAGCCATTTCTCAAAGATATCCATAAAAAGTCTTGTTTAAAGTTTGACACAAGCACCTGGGAGACACCAAACATCTGGAAGAAGCTGCTCTGGTCACATGAAACCAAAATCCAACTGTTTGGCCATAATGCAAAATGATATGTTTGACGTAAAAGCAACACAGCTCATCACCCTGAACACACCATCCCCACTGTCAAACATGGTGGTGGTGGCATCATGGTTTGGGCCCGCTTTTTGTCAGCAGGGACAGGGAAGATGGTCAGAATTGATGGGAAGATGGATGGGGCCAAATACAGGACCATTCTGGAAGAAAACCTGTTGGAGTCTGCAAGAGACCTGAGACTGGGACGGAGATTTATCTTCCACCAAGACAATGATCCAAAACATAAAGACACATCTACAATGGAATGGTTCACAAATAAACGTATCCAGGTGTTGGAATGGCCAAGTCAAAGTCCAGACCTGAATCCAATCGAGAATCTGTGGAAAGAGCTGAAGACTGCTGTTCACAAACGCTCTCCATCCAACCTCACTGAGCTCGAGCTGTTTTGCAGGAAGAATGGGCAAGAACTGATGAGACAAACCCCAAGAGACTTGAGCTGGAACTGCAGCAAAAGGCGGTGCTACAAAGTATTAACGCAAGGGGGCCGAATAATATTGCACGCCCCACTTTTCAGTTTTTTATTTGTTGAAAAAGTTTGACACATCCAATAAATTTCATTCCACTTCACGATTGTGTCCCACTTGTTGTTGATTCTTCACAAAAAATTAAAATTTTATATCTTTATGTTTGAAGCCTGAAATGTGGCAAAAGGTTGAAAAGTTCAAGGGGGCCGAATACTTTCGCAAGGCACCGTACAAACCCAAGTTAAAATTAAAGGCCTCTTACGTTGAAAAATTATGGAGATGTAGCCGTTTTGTGTCAAACCTTGAAAGTGACGTTAATCTGATTCTCACTTTTGAATGACTCTCAACAACTACCACCTTCAATTTCAGCTCAAGATCTAAACCTAAGATATTTAGACATTTTTGTGTTTTGATGCTGATTAGCTGTGATGACCATCTTGAATTGTGTTGAATCCAAAATTTGATATAATTTCATACAAACAACAATAATAACAAAATATCATATTCTCTCTGACAATTTCATTAAATCCCCTCAGTGGTTCAAGGAATATTTTGCCAACAGACAATGTTCTCCAACATTTAATGCTAAAGTTTTAAACAAAGATCTGTGAGCGTGTGTTTCACAGTATCTTCAATCGGTTCATTTCATTTTAATTCAGTTTATTTCTATAGTTCCAAGTCCCAACAGAAGTCGTCTCAGTGCACTGTACAAAAACATTCACGTACATTATGAAAGCCAGTTGGTAAAATCTATCAAGACTGAGTTTGTTGTGGCTCCTCAGACTGAACAAGTCTTTTGGATAAAAGATGAAATGTTTCAACAAGAAGAATCCGTCCAGACGACCTGTAGATTTACCTGGATTACTGAGTATACATCAGGATGCAATAAAGTTCAGTCAGGTCATCTGGATGGCTTCTTTTTTTGTTGAGATGTTTCATCCTTGATCCACAGAATGATTTATTTAAGGGGTTTCAAACATTTGATAATGTCAATGGAAAAATCAAGGCACATGTTCTTGTTTTTAGTACTTCACCGTGTTTTATGGCACTCTGATTTATTGTTGTATGCACTGCTTTTATTTTAACTGTAGTTTATTGTTGTCATTGAATCAGAATCAGAATCAGAATGCCTTTATTGTCATTATACGCAGTACAATGAAATTAAGAGCCACTCCTTTTTCCTGTGCAAAAACACGCCTTAAGAAAACACACATTAAACACACACTAAAAATATAAAAAAATAACGCAATATAGATATAATAATGAAAGTAAAAAATACAAGTATTACACAATTGTATTGCACATTATGGATATTAGTGAGGTAGTTAAGGTGACTGAGAGTATGAAATGGCAGTAGTATTGCACAGTTTATTTCTAAAATGTACCGGTAGCCAATGCAGAGATTAAAACCGGCGTCATGCGCTGTCTTTTCCGTGTGTTGGTTAAAAAGCCTTGTAGCAGCATTTTGAACTGTGCAAACGATCAAGATCTTTCTTGGTCAAACAAATGAAAAGACTGTTACAATAATCCAGACGGGATGTAATAAAAGCATGATAATCTTCTCTAATTTCTAAACCGTCCAGATGACCTGACTGAAATTTGTTGGATTTTTTTTTTTTTACCTGGATTATTGGAACTTTACATCAGGATGCTTTTTATGTTGTGTTGCTGTTGTTATTTCCTGCCGCTAGATGGCGCTAGTGTAACCGCTGGCAGAGCAGACTGCACGCGAAGAAGAAACGCAAACAAACCACTTCCTGTTTTACGCCGGCCGGTTGTCCGACCGTTCCCCTGGAGGAAAGCGTTTTAAAAACCGTTTTATTAGCGTGTTAGCCACTGTCCTAATTTATCTAGCGGAGCATGGACTCGTGTCATAATAGGCGTTTTGAGGAAAAAAAATAGTAACTGTCACTCTGAAGGGCCGCGGTTGGTTTACATGTTCGTGTCTCGGACGCAGGAAGAAGCGATGCTCCAGCTGGGAGATGACGTCACCCTCTACTCGTTCGTCTTCGTGGTGGTCCTGCTGGGAACCCGAAGCCCCACATGGTCAGCGGTCCTCACCGCCTCGGTCTACCTCTTTCTGGCCATGTTTCGGTTCCCCCAGGTGCCGAGCAGCCGAGCCCGGCAGGTGCTGCACCCAGTGGGGCGCGGGGAGGTGTCGGTGATCGCTCACCGGGGCGGTGGGCACGACGCTCCGGAGAACACGATGGCAGCCATACGGGAGGTGAGAGAGGAGCTGGAAAACCTTATCTGATTTAGCTCGACAATACTGTGTCATAGGCTAGAACTGTAGATCCGTCAGGAATGCATACCTGCATTACTTATATAAAAGAGGGTGTGTCCTAAGACTGAGCCTTGTGGTACACCACTGTTGATAGTTAAATAACTGGAAGAAGTACAGTTATGTTGAACACATTGCCTCTGATTTGAAAGTTAGAAAACCAATCGATCGGAGGTAATGGAGCATCAAATTCCGTACTTTTTAATACCTTTTTTTTTTGTTCTTTATGATAAGATTTTACCTTAAAATTAGTTAATTTAATGAAAATAAAGGAAATTTAAGGAAAATAAATGCAGCGGAGTCCTTCACAAATGCTCCTTTGCTAAACCTAAATTGCACGCCTCAAAAAGGTGATAATGTTTCAGCCTGTCTGTGTGCGTGTCCGTTTGCCTGTCTGTTAGCAAAATATCCGATGAACCACCGCACTGATTTTAACAAAAATCCCAGAAAGTATTCACTGGATGTATGTCTACAGCTGATTAACTTTTGAAGCCAACCCGATTCAAATTGGCCCCACAGCTAGGCGACTTTTTCAAAAGGAAAAAAGGGCTACAACCCACCCAGTTTTACAGATGTGCTAAAATTTGTTCTGGCAGTAGCTGAGAATGAGACCAAACATATTCCTTGAGCACTAACAGGGTTTTAATTAAATGTTTGCCATTAACTTATTGGAGTTAACTCCGTTTGTCTGTTGACAAAATATCTCATTAACCACAGGACAGATTTTTAACGAAGCTTTCAGGTAAAAATCAGTAGAAGTGCCTCCACAGCTGATAAACTCTTGCAGCCAATTCAGGAATGTCGCCTCCTACAACTGACCTTAAAAAGCACAAAAAATGTCTATAGTTCATTCAGTTTTGCGGATACTGATCTGAAATCTGACGTGGTAAGAGTCCGCACGTCCTCTGAGTGTGACAATATGTTTTCAAGGTTTGACCAAGACTGTTTCTCAACACAAGATCAGTCTAAACGACGTGAAGGCCAGAGGGTGATATGCAGTCTTTCAAGAAATGCTAGGTCTTGCTTCAACAGGACACAAATTCCTTATATGTTATTAGCGTTCTTGGTCAGTAAGATATTATTTTAAAAACTACCCGCTATCGAGAGAATGTGTATGAATGCATGCACCATGCTGTATTATTTTACTTTATTAATATAGACGTTACTGTCATTGTGAATATTAAATGTTTTCATGATCTTTCCTCTTTATCATAATCGGTCCTGATGTGAATGTCGGTACGGAGACGGCGACGAGATCGTCTTTGTCATGCTCAAGGTTTTCATTGATATGGTAGACACAGTGCGTGTTCCTAGAGAGTCCTTGAGAGGGGTTTTCGTCTTCCACAACTCCCAGTCGTTTCTCTGTGTGTGTGTGTGTGTGTGTGTGTGTGGGGGGGGGGGGGGGGGGGGGGGGGGGGGGGGGGGGGGGGGGGGGGGGGGGGGGGGGTAACTGGCACCAGGAGATTCTATACACGAGCCTACAGGAAGCTCAGAACGGGTCAGAACTTCAGGCAGGTGTGTGTACATTAGTCCCTCAATTATCGCGGGGGTTACATTCCACACCCCCGCCATAGGAGGAAACTGCGACGTAGGAACACTTTATTTATTTTAGTATTTTTATATATTTTAAGGCTTCACAAACCTTACACACACTCTTGCAATGTTCTAAACTCTTGAACCTACGTCATTTTAACAACATATGTATTTGTACTGTGCAGTACTGCAAAATTTTACTCACCAGCTCTGCAGAACAGCAGCTCGGTTCTGGTCGGGCTCGGTTCCGGTTCTGCAGACCTACGGTGCAGCGACGGAGCCCACCGCCTGTCCAGGTTGATGTGCGCGCGGATAATTGAGCTTCAGGATTATTTGCATCCTCCCTCCACTGCTGCCATTTCTGCTGGAAGCAGCGGTCAGAAGCACTGTTGGCTTCTGGGTAGTGTAGTTCTTTTGACTTGCGTTACAGTTTAGGCTCATTGAAAGAAAACTACAAAATGGCCTGTCCAAAGTATAACTTTGTATCCCCTACCGTCCCAATCACGTAAGTAATATTAAAGTTGACAATCGTGTGTCGTGTAGAATCTTACGTTGAAAAACCACAAAAGAGCGAGTCCACGATAGTCGAACTGCGAAGTAGCGAGGGTCAGTGCTTGTAAATTCATTGATCCTCTGTGAGTTGCTGGCTGATCTCCAAAGCTTTGTAATAAACCTGATGAAGTCTACACCCGATTGTTTGGGAATCTCCTTTTTTAACCAACTTGTGCAAACGTGGCTGATGAAATGAACCGACTCGTTTATTGGCGGAGCTTTTAACAGACTCATTTAGATTATTTGTTCTTTTAAGTCAGGTGTTCTGTTCGTGTAGATTAGTTGTCCAGACCGCTTCTGCTGGTTACAAAGTTATTCCCATGTCTTCAGGGAACAGGATAACATCAGCTTTCACGCTTTTGTTTGACCAGTTTTGTTCAGATGTTTAGGGTCTGCTTGGTGAAACGCTTCAATAGCCTAACACTTCTGCTCTGCTGTAGGCCAGTAAGAACGGGGCGACTGGTGTGGAGTTAGACCTGGAGTTCACAGCAGATGGCGTCCCAATCCTGATGCACGATGAGACGGTGGATCGGACCACAAATGGGTCGGGACCACTCAGCCAGATGAAGTTTTCAGAGCTCGGCAAACTGGATGCAGCCGCTAAACATCGGCTCAGGTGAAAAACAATTACAGTCACGAATTCACATAAAAGACGCAGAGGAGAGCCAGGAATTAGACTGGTTCACTGTTTGAACTCACAACTGAACTATATTTCTGTGCCTTTTCTACTATGTAGAAATAATTTGGCAATTTCTCAAAATTGTCTTATTGGTAAACCAAATGGAAAGCACTGCCTGATCATTTTCCCTTAAATGGAGTCACATTTGTTGGGAAAACTCATCTCTGGGTTGAGCAGCAGAGTTGAGTGTGTGGGTTGCCCCCCATGAAAAAAGTTGCCAGTTCTTCTACAGTCTCTGGTTTGGTGTTGTTTATTTGTTTGGATGAATGAAGTCTGAAGAAAACAGATATAATGGCTGTTTAACAATTTATTTATTTAACAATCAGGGGCCTCAGTAGCATGTGGAAGAACCACACACAGCCACAACAGTTGTGCGCTGAGGGGAAAATAAACACGAAACAAGATTTATTGTCAAGAAGCGTTATTACAAGAAATAATCAACCAAATATGAATCTTCTTTACTTTTAGTGCTGTTTAATATATCCATGAGTTCAGCGTTACTTTTACTGGAAATACGTTTGTTTATTGGGATCATGAGCATCACCAAACACCAAAATAAGAATGTAATAAAGTTGGTGTGAAGTCCAATTTAAAAAAAAAAAAAATTTTTTAGGTTTGAATCAAAATAATTTGAGTCTGTGTGTGGTAAACTTTTGTAACCACATCACAACAAACTGGTGCTGCTGTTAAAAACTGGTTGCCTGTTCATCCTCGATCCAAACGAACCGTCCTGTGTTCACCACTTTAGACGTAACCGTTTTGTTTCTGATGCTCCAGACCGCATGCTTCTCTGCATCAGTGTTGTCAGAGTTACTCGTTTTATGCCACCTCCTTTTCTGTGCACATGCACAACACGCACCTCATCTTTCAACCTCCTCCCGCACCTCAGTCAGCACATATAATAGTTTGGCTCAAAATACAGTCATTTTAAAGCAACTGTACGATAGTTCTTGATTTCCTATCTGGCAACCCCGTCTGGCAAAGAAACTACAACAGATCAATGCAAACAGAGTTTTATTTGTGTTTATTTGCCAGATTCAACATAAAAAACCCACTAACGTTTCCAGAGAACATTCTAGTGTCACCAGGTCCTAAAGTTCATGATGGGAAACAAAAGCTCTTCCTATCACGTGTGATGCTTAGTGTTTGCTTAGTAATATTTATTCAAAAGACTCTTGCATACAGTTTTAACATTTTGAATGTTACTTAATCATTAAGACCCAAAGAATACTGGAAGTTCTGTTTGGATTTACTCAATTGTGAGTGATTTCTATTGCAGTGATGAAATAATCGACATGTATTTTTCCCCCTGTAAAGAATTTAAATCATTATTCACCCAAGAAAACCTAAATTTAAGGGAAAAAGGGGTTTTGCATTAAAAACGCCAGCTCTCTAATAAATCCTTAAATGTTTTCATCATCATCATCATCATCATCATCATCATCATCAGGAACAAGTTTGCAGGTGAGAAGATCCCAACGCTGGAGGAGGCAGTGAAGGAGTGCATCAAACTGCAGCTCACCATCTACTTTGATGTCAAAGGTCATCCAGACGAGGTGAAGCCGACACAACAAACAGCCTAGTGATGTGCATTTATTTAATTTACATGTGAGATGATGACGTTGGAACTAAAACATAAAGTCTGAAACAGCTTGACATCAAAAAAGACGAGACTGATTATTCTATTAGCAAATATTACCTCTTCATATTTGATTCATGTTTAAACAGTTTAACGAACAATTGTTAATTAAACTAGTTGCATGCTTTAGCTGTGGATCAACGGTTTTTCTAACAGTATTGTGTAGAACATGTTCCGACTGGAAGTTTGAGCTTCCAGTTTTACAGTTTTCACACATAATTATTTTATCTATTTTCACTCTAAATCTTAAAACGTTAGTTTTTTGTGTGAAATTAAAATTTTATTTGGTGCTAATTAGGTACAGACACGTCTCCCATTCTTTAAGTCACATTTAATTCACAGAGGTTCAGTTATAGTTTAAAATGTTCAGCTGTTTCGGGAGAAACACATAACACAACAGGGTGTTATGGCTTTTAGCATTCGTGCAACTTTAGCTTTTTGAAGTATTTAGCCTTTTCTGCTGGTTTTTTTTCACATAGAAAATGAATTGAGCTCATTTTACATCCTTCATGTGTTTAGATCTGTTTACAACCTTTAACTGCTCCTTTCACATTTTGTTCTGCTTCAGCTTCTTTCAACTTCCTTGTGCAAATGTTAACTTTTTTCCAGCTACTTTCAGCTGTTTTTTCAGTTGTTTTGTTCTCCTTTCAGCTTCTTTCTGCTAACTACAACATGTTTGTGCTTTAAACTTCTTTTTACTAATTTCAGCTTGTTGTGCTTATTTCAGCTTGTTCTGCTATTTCAGCTGTTTTTATGCTAATTTTAGCTTTTTCAGAGAATTCCACATTTTTTGCACTAATTTCTAGCCTAATTGATCAAAATTGTTCTCTTCACTTCCTTCTGCTAATTTAAGCTTCTTTCTGCCTTTTTAGCTACTTTTCAGTAGTTTTTTTTCCCTTCAAATTTCTGCATTTTTTTCCAGATAATTTCTACTTTTTAGTGCTAATTTTTGCTTCTTTCAGCCTAGTTGGTCAAACCTGTCTTCTTTCTGCTTTCTTCTGGTAATTGTTCGTTTGCTTGTTCTAACTTTTCAGCTACATTTTTAGCCGTTTCTTTAAGCTAATTTCATCTTTATTCAGAAAAATTCAAGTTTTTCATATTTCTGCTACTTTAAGCTTGTTATGCTCCTTTCAGCATTTTTCTACTAGTTTCAGCTTTTTCTACTCTTTCAGCTACTATTTAGCTCCTTTGATGCTAATTTTAGCATTTTCAACTAATTCCACATTTTTTGAGCTCATTTCAGCTCTTTCCACTTCCTTTTCGTAGGTCAAGCTTCTTTTTTCCTTTTCAGCAATTTTTTTTTGCTGATTTCAGCTTTTTTTTAGCCAATTTCCTCATTTTTGTGCTAATTTATGCTTATTCAAATGTAATTCAGCAAATGTGTTCTTTCTGCTTTCTTCTGATAATTTAGGCTTGTTCATCCATTTCAGCTACCTTTCAACATGTTTTTTTTTAGTCTAATTTCAGCTGTTTTTCACCAAGTTCTTCTGCAATAAGCATTCACACTGGATTTTCTAGTTTTTTCAGTTCTTACAAACCAACATTTTTCAGTCAGGTCATCTGGACAGTTTTTTTTTTTGTGCTGAAATGTTTCACCTTCCATCCAGAAGGCTTCATCAGTCAAGGAAACGCACAACAAAACTGATTCTTCCCCCAACCCAACATCTTACTCCAAAGTGGAACAAACCAGTTTTGTTGGTGCTAAGATGGTCTCTTTGGTACACCTCCTCCTCCATTGCCGGCCCTCTTCCTTGTTAACAGTCGTGTCAAACTGGTTGAAAACAACAAAGTCCATGCTCAATAATCAGAAAAATCAGAAATAATCAGAAACATTCAAGTTTTTCATGTTAATTTCTGCTACTTTAAGCTTGTTATGCTCCTTTCAGCTTTTTTCTGCTTTTATAAGTTTTAACTTTATAACTTGAAGTTTTAACTTGTAACTTTTTCTGCTCTTATATAAGTTCTCGCTACTCCCCTCTCCCAAAAGACTCATTAAGATTAATCTATTTATCCAAGTGATAAAAAAATAAAGTAAATATTGTAAGTTCTTACAAAGCTTTTAGACACTTTCATACTCGGCACATTTTTTTTGATGAGCCAGGAATGCAGAGCCGAAGCGTGGGCTGTCTCATTCTTGTTTCTATCGCAGACGCTCTTGAGTTTAAGGGCCCTCAGAGGTGTTCCTGTGCACACACAGCAGTTGGTCTCCACCCAGTGGTGGTATGGGAACAGCACAGATGAAACTCATTGACCTTCAGTAACCGTGCGTTTGTTCCTCTCACCCAGGCGGCTGCAGCTCTTAAAGACTTGTTTCAGAAATTTCCAGTTCTGTACAACAGCAGCATCGTCTGCTCCTTCGAACCGAAGGTCATCTACCGGGTAAGGGGCTCCGTTTTAATTTGGTTCTTTTGTGTAAAACTTTATAAATGATGCGGCCAAAGAAAGGTTTTGAGATGACAGTGTTTGATTTCTGCTTCACATAGTCTCATTTAATCACACCTACTCTACTACTCAATTATACAGTTTAATATTAACGCACCGCATGAAGTTTATCCAGATTTAATAACTTATTTAGAAGAAACCAATTTTGGATTTTCACAACTTCTGACCGTATTAACTCCAGCATTTGTTCTGTATCATCACCCTTGCAAATAAATGTTGTGTCATCTGCAAATAAAATACATCTAAAAAAGTCTGACACATTAACCAAGTCATTCACATACAAATCAAATAACCTGGGTCCAAGTACAGAGCCCTGAGGCACTCCACATGTGATATTACTAAATTTAGATCTTATGTCATGTATTTGAACAAATTGTTTTTATTGACAAACTTTTACTTGTAAAAGATATAAACTGGTATTTGTACAAGAGAAATAACTACAAGAACACTGTTTTGAGAATTACTTTTCTTTAAAAACAACAGCAGCAGAGACGCGGGCCGTTGTGTGTCTCTGCTCTGCTGTGACAGCCTCAGAAAGAGAAAGGAGGGGTTGGGGGGGTCGGGTCGGTTTTTCTCCATTGCCAGTCGTGTGCCGTCTACAATCTTACTTGGAAAACCCGCAAAAGAGTGAGTCCGTAATAGTCGACCGCAAAGTATCGAGGGACTGTGTACAATAAATAAAACATTGAAACGTTCCTCATTGTGACTCATTTTGCAGCACAGGTTAAGCGCCCCCCCCCCCCCCCAACAAAAAAAAAACCCAACAAAAAACAAACAAACAGGCTAGCCTTTGTCTGCCACACTGTCATCCCCTCCTGTCCACGCCACATGTTACTGTTAATGCAGCTGCACTAAAACACTCGACATGTTTTTTTTTCCTGGCACAGATGAGGCAGAGTGACCCTGAAGTGGTCACGGCGTTGACCCACCGGCCTTGGAGCTTGACTTATTTTGGAGACGGCAGCCCACGATTTTCATCAGCGTGGAAGCATTACTGGATGACGGTCATGGACATCGTGTTGGACTGGGCCCACCATCACGTGCTGTGGAGACTCTGCGGCATCTCTGCCTTTCTGATCCAGAAGAACTTTGTGTCACAGTGAGTTTTTGTTGCTCAGTAAAGTCTTTGGCGCTTTGACACATCACAAGCTACATATTTTTTTTAATGTCTTGTTGATTATTTTGACTTTTTGAGACGTTAGTCTTGCCGAGCTGCGATGATTTGAGACGGAGCTGCTTCTTATTTGGTTACGAAGTGTGAGTCGCTCTGCTTCTGTGTGCCGTCTGCAGGGAGTACGTGCAGTACTGGGCTCAGAGGGGGGTGGACGTTGTCGCATGGACCGTCAACACAAAAGTGGAGAAAGAGCTGTACCAGGAGGTGCTACACATCAACTTCATCACAGACAGCCTGGTGGAGGACTGTGAACCTCATTACTGAGAAACGCAGTAAATATCACGTCCACACGTCTTTACAACAGGACAATACCTATAAAAGAGTTTTTCTCACTAATCATCAGACGTTTGTGGCATCAGTACGTAAACACGCCTTTATTTCAGGTATAGTTTTGATCGTTGTGTACACGTTTCCAGAAAGAGTCGAACATTTTACGTTTTGCTTAAACTCATTATTAAAAGGCCACGTTTTATTCTCACAGACACTTTTACTATGATGTGCAATCAGATGTGTGTGGTGAGAGACGTTTGAGATACAAGTTTATACCAGACTGCAAAAGTCTTGAGTCATCCACGATTTTTTTTTATTTCCCCCCCACATTTTTATTCCAACAAACACTTAAATAATAATAATTAAAAAAAATTAAAAAATCATTAAATAGATATAAAAGAGATAACTCTCTACATTAAATGAATCTTTTGTTAACCCCTGCTTGGTAATCTGTAATTTATATCAGGTTATCTTAGAATAAAATAAAATGCAAGTTCAAGAATCTTTATTATCCCCGAGGGGCAATTTGTTTCACAGTCAGAGAAATAAAACATCCACACTACACACGACATAGAGATGTTAAAATAACTAAAGAAATCATCACTGTTCGTTGAGAAGCCTGATCTCTACAGGGACGAATGAGTTTTCCAGTCTGTTCGTTCTACATGTGGGCAGCAGATACCTGCAGAAACCAGATGGAAGCCACCTGAACTCAACACGGAGTGGATGAACAGGATCTGCCAGAACCAGCCTGGCCTTGTTCGCTGAGCTCGCCTTGTGTAGGTCAGTGAGGATCTGCAGGGGATGCCAGCAGTTTTGCTGCACATCCTGACAATCCCCGAGAGTTTGTTCCTGTTTTTGCAACAGATGAAAGTTAAACAGTTAAAAGAGACATTTTTATATTGATGCACCACCTCAACAGCTTCACCATTAATGACCACAGGAGCGGCAACTGAAGAGTCTTTTTGAAAATCAATGAGCATCTCCTTTGTCGTAGAAACATTTAACTCTAAAACGTTAAACTCACACCGTTCAGTGAAGTCCCCGCCCACAGGCCCAGGCTCTGGATACATGTAAAATACATGTAGAAGGGCGTAATTTAAATTGTTTTATAAAGAGTAATTCACACTTTTAGTTGTTTAGTTTATTAAAAAGCTGACAACAATAATGACAACAAACCTTTCTACTTTTAGGCTTCATATAAATAAAGAACGGCTGACTCAACTTTTTCATCAGTTAAATGAACTGTGGTCAACAACTCAGGACTTGATTTTTAGGATTTTGATTTCTATTGTGTACTTTTTACTCGCAAAGTATTCTTTGTGTGAAAATCTACCTATGTTGAGTACTTGAGCCAGTTCCACCTGCAGGTTACTTGTGTAATAATTGAGACATTTAAAGTAAAACAGGTTTAATATGCAAGTTTTATGTTGATTTAAATAAAACGTTGCTTCACTTGGTTCAACTGGTTTAATGCGGCTGAAGTTTCAAGGATGGAGTGCCACAAAATGTTTGAATTTCTTTCAAATATATTAAAATAGATGAAGAATACAAATAGAAGATTTAAAAACAAGTAAATGTAGATATATTAAAAAATGAACTACAAGGAAAGGAATTATCAAATTAAAATAAACACAGTTAAGAAGCTTTAATACGATGTAGGCATGCTTACATTTGTCTTTAATGTTTTTGGTACATGAATTTTTTTTAATATATTCCAGACCTCATACCTAATTTGTTTATTTTTAAATAAATTAAAGAAGCGATTTTATTTAATTGTTTTGCAAAGACAACATCTGTAAATGTTTGTAAATTGTTGATTATGTTACATAATTAGCCAAACAGCTGGAAAATGCATAAACGTCCCAAATTCAATAAATATTTGGTTATTTATAGCAAAGAACATGTAAAATTAAGGAACAAAACTTAGTACCATATTTTTCAGATATAAGATGCACTTAAAGTCCTTTAATTGTCTTAAAAATTGACAGTGACCCTTATAATCAGGTGCGACTTACGTAATAATTTTTCTTTTTTGGTAAAATGGTCAAACACTGTTTTTTCTTTTACACACTATTCTCAGAGAATATATGACCAAATAACCACACACAAAATATATATATATTATTTTTTGTTTTTTATTTTACGTTTTATTTGCTCTAAATAAAATAAATAAATAAATTGAATTTGCCAATATTCATTTTCCGTTATTCATTTTAACCTATTTTAATATTATTTAAATAACATTTCCAGCCTTTAAACTGTTAACTATCTTTTGTATTAATATTAACTTTTAAAAACGGTAAAAAAAAATACCCTGCATGAACAGAAATTATGTAATGAGCGGTGAATAAAGAGAAATAAATAGGTTTTATGAATAAAATAAAATGTACAAGGTTGTTTGGTAATTAACATGTAAAAACTACCTAATTAGTTTATTTTTAAAACCTACTAAGCCAATATTTAAAAAAATAATTCTTCTAGTTTAATTGGATTATGATAACTCACTTTCTGTAGACATTTCTTTTGTTTATATTTCTTCATTTTCTTATTTTTGCATTAGACATTAAATTTTTGTGGCACTTTTATGCTCATACAAGTTTTACATCTGTGTTAGCAATAATACATTAACAAATGAACGTTTAGGCTTTTAAAACCATTATCACTAAACAAACGTTATATTTTATGTACGAGAAAACAAACTTTTCTCTTTGCCTGATGCTTAAACATTTAATAAATGTAATTTATAATAATAAGTTTCATTGTAAGTGGATCAATTTTGGTGATTGTTGAAGTAAATTATAATATTTATATTCTTGTATGCTTTTTTTCTGAATTTCAGCCTCATATGTTTTTGCACTTTATGAGAAATGTGGTTTAATCATAATTTAAAGATTAAAAGGGAATTGCCATTTTTATTGCAGACATCAGTCCCAACATTCAGTGTACAATAAATATTTGATTTCTTGTTACTGAGCGTGTCTGTGGTGCTGTGGAGAGACTGTGCAGGAAAATGTACAAAATGTTGAATGTCTCATTTTAAACGAGAAACTGCATTTGATCGTTCCATGTTTCCTCGCAGCTCAGTGGGATCACAGAAATCAGCAAATTCAAAAGCTTGAACTTGTGCCACTCGTCACTTTAACAGGAGTGTCCAAACATTTTCACGTGTGCCAAAACTATCTGTGAAACGACCCGTGGGCCACAAAAATGTGAATGTAACTCAATGTGAACAATATTTTGGAGAAAGGACTAATTTTCTAATTTTGGTGGAGAAAGAGTTTTAAATAGTTGCAGATTCAAAACATTAAAAGCCTCAAACACTAAGGTTTTTTTTTTTAATTTAAAATGATTTGATTTATTTGATTTGTTGTTTTCTTGTGTTTGGAAAGTTCAGTTTAGTTTGTTCTCGGCTACAAAAGCGTAATTTCAGTAAGTGTCCTTTTAAAAGGTCATCCTTTTGGACCATGGACGGCCCAAAAGGAAGTTCTGAAAAATGGTCCAGCTGTCGGTCACTACAACAGATTCATAGAAGGTTTGATAAAGATGATCAACTCGTATGTAGATGATACCACGTTATATTCATTAAAAATGTCTAATTTCCCTCTTGATTATTTTATCAAATGCAATATTTAGCCAAGTTTTATGAATCATTATCTAAAAGTCTCCTTTCTGGTAGAAACCAGTAAATGTTTTTGGTGCTTTGTACCAGGAAGTGAAAATTAAAAAGATTATAGTCAAAGGTTTGTATTTGTTTAATGTTGCTCATTATGAGAAGATTGTTTTTCATCTGTTTTGTTGTTAAACCTAAACATGATATAAAAAAATAATTACCAACTAATCTGCAGAAAGTCTGCATCACCTCTGAAGCCTGCTGGCCAAAATGAGACCATCTTAAACTGCAGATGTGGGCCACACAAAATCACTGCGAGGGCCGTAAATGGCCCCCGGGTCGCACTTTGGACACCAGTGCTTTAGGAGAATATCTACAAAATTAGTTATTCAGCCATGTTAATTTGAAGAACAACCTGAGATGCTAAGATGTCATTCCTCAAACACTCGTTTCCAGAGTCCAGATTTATCTGAGCGAATCAAAGTCACCAAGAATTTAGAAACCAGGTGTTAACGAGACTTTCAAGTGGAAACAGTTTTCTCTTTCCGTTGTCACTGTTAGGCCTGTGGGTGATTAGGTTTATGGTGTTCAGCCTCCGGTGACTGACCCAGATGGTCCAGATGAATGGAGGGTATCACCTCAGTTAAGTCTGTCTGAGCTGCTGCTCGTCTGGGCTGATCTTCAGAGGCTAAACTGTCTGTCGCATCACTCTCAGGTGATTTTTCACCTAAACAACAGATGCTGCCTGCGCTAATGACTCTCCGGTTAATCAAGAGAATAAACAACAGCCGAGATAAATATTAAAATAAAATGGAACAAATCTGAACACATTACAACACTTTAGGTTGCTGTGGATTATTAAAAAATAAATAAATGTGTATATATATATATACCTAGAC